ATCACTACCAGGCTTTTCCCACTGTCTATATCTTTAGGTTCTGCAGAAATTATTTTCTTTCTTTGTGTATCTGCAGCAGTGGGAGTCTTCTTTTCACTTGTGACTTCAATACCTCAAGACTAGAAATGTCTACCAAGTAAAAGTTCAAGTGCCTGTACAAGTGATGATAGTAAAAATACTTTGCAAAAAAAATTACTTTGCATTGAGAAAGCACTAGCACCTACCTGGTTATTTTTGTGCCTCGAGATATTGTCTTCTTCCTCATCACCACTCATGTAAGTGTTTCCTTGTTGTGTTTCAGAGAGAGAGAAGTAGAAAGATTTCATGTGAGATAAAGAAAAATTCATTCTTAACTCAAGTCTTTTCGTTAAGGAATCTCTCTCCTTTGGGTTCCAGTTGATGTTTTCAAATATTTAGCGCCGTTATTTGCAACTCTGTGTAGTCACAACTTTTTAGCTTAAAGGTACATAATCTTAATTTAGTTATAATAAGATGGATTTTATAGACGAAGGAACTAAAGGTTTCATTATACATTGCAATAAATGTATAATGTGAGGCACATACCAAATTCAAAAATTTCTATCAATTACATTAAAAACATAAAAAAACAAGCAGGTAAAATTGATTTAATAATATATTCATGTATCTAGCCAACATATTATCATTTCAAAATATAATTGATATAAAATATTAACAAATATTTCACAAACTATTTGTGTGTGCATGTGTGTGTGAGTGTGTATTTATGACTGTGTGCTATGTCTTCAAAATCAGATGTTCAATTTATACTTAGAACGCATATCACTTTGATCCAACCAGAATTCAAGTCTTGTAACTGTGGCTGGTGGCTATCAAATGGGACAGTGTAGATTTAGAGATTATTTTGCCCTCAGTCAGACAGCTAGAAAGTGGCATGGACAGGACTCCAAACTTAGTCTGAACTAATGCGCTTCTTTTAAACACTGTAAAAAGTACCTCCTACTAATTTGAATTGATTCTTTTAGTTTAACATGAAACATGAAAAATGACATGGTCTAACAGATCTGGGGCTACTCCTCACCTACTTTCCCAGGAGCAATGCAGATGATTTCTTGATTGCCAAGGTGATGTTTATCATATGGAACTAGTTGATATGGACAACTAAAAGATCAATGGGATTTGATGCGAAGTAATTGTCACAGTAAAAAAAACAACTCGTTCTCATTCATCTGCATGACCTACACATTTTCTCTCTGCAGGAAGGCACATCACAATCAGAAGGCAGGTTAATTGATAAGAGGTGATGAAATACAGCATAATTAAAATAACACAATAACTGATTGGCACCATCAATTTCATATCAAAGACAGTTTTGTCAGCGAGATGAAAATGTTGGTGGTTAGGCACTGTCAATGTTCATCTCTTTGATTCTCCTTTCACTTGCTGATCAACCCTTTTTCAGATTGAGACTTTATTTCTGAGATTGAATCAATTCTTAGAGGCCTAGGAAATATCCTTACTCACTGAAGATTTTTAAGTCCCTCCTCGATTCCATTATTAATACATTATAAAGCTGTATAACCCTTAACATTTAGGGAGTAGACATATTTTCATGCCTATGGAGTACGTATTATTCTAACCTTACTCATATAACCTTCACAGGACTCGGATTTAAAGTTTGAAATCGGAACAATAAAAGGGAAAAGGAAAACAAAAAGGAAAAGAAAAGAAATGCAGTAAATATCACAATTTCTTCATAACATCTCCTTCCCTAAAGTAAATACCTACCATGCCCTTTTTACTTTGAGGAGATTTTTTGCTAATCATAAAAATGTGATGCAATACATATTCTGAAAATATGTAATTTCACAATCTGAAAACTATATGCCAAGAATCAACATGGTAGATTAGAAATGAAAAATATTTTAATGCCCAAAGCTATAATGTATAGCTATATAATCTTGACTATTTTACCTAGTCTTTCTGAGTCTCCTTTTCCGAATTGTTAAGAGGAAAATGAAAATAGGGCCAACAATACACACCTCATATAACGGTTGTGAGTGTTAACAGAACAATGTATCTACAATGCAGATGCTGCATACAAGGCATTAGTGAAAGGGGGGTCCTCTTCTCTAAAGGTAAGAAGTTCTGGATCCTTTTAGAGTTCGAGCTCTGAAAGCTTTTGCCTGGTGTCCTGGTTTTCAGTTATTTCATTGCTCACTAGTGCCATCATCAGACATAACACAGAAGAGAAACTGAAAACATCTTTATTTTCAGGCTTGCATTTCTGTCCATTTTAATAATAAATGGCATTTTCAGATTATTTTCTTGGTTACTTAGTTCAATGAATAGAGTCTACAAGCAGTTGTAATGTTTCTGCTGTACAGAGGTCAAATTCTTTTGGGTTATACCCTAAAACTAAAAGCTGTGTTCTACATTAAGAAGAATCCTGATTTACTATAAACTAAACATAGAGCTGAAAAGAGGCATTATGAGCCCCTGAAGAGAAATCTTGAATCTGTTTTTCTTTATCCCCATGGGCTAGTGCAAATTACCTTTTCTCTGTGAGATTTTGTTAAGGTATTGTGATTTATATTAATCTTATGAGTCTCATGATAATTACTTTAAATACCAAACCACAGTCACCGAGTAGTTCTCTCCCTCTCCTTCAGGTTTAGATGAAAATCAAAAGAAATCAATTAATAGGTGTCAGATTAGAACGTTTGAAATGATCATTACTGCTTTGAGAGTGCCTCCACAGCAAGGCTTTACCATGATGTCCTGGATCAATCAGTGATTTTATTTTCATTGAGTTCCTGTCATCTGCTATGACAGAGTCTCATCCAGTAATGCAAATCCCAAGAGTCAGAGCTGTAAGTATTTGACAGCTTCTAATTTCATGTCCCAGACATTTCTTAGTTTCCATGAATAGGTCGATGTGAAGCATGTGCTGGCTCTTGTGAAAAATGGAAGTGGAGTTACAGGGGGAATGATGCACAATAGTGAAGTCTGTCCACAAACCTGAGCAAGCACATACTTCTTTAATTTCATACAGCCTGCACTGAACTGCAGTGCTGATGGTTCCCCCAGTAGTGTGTGTGTGTGTGTGTGTGTGTGTGTTTGTATGTGTGTGTAAAACAATGCAACCTGGAAAACAGTACTGATTATTTTATCCAAGGTTTTAACCCTAAAAATATTTTAAAAAAATTATGCATACGGTTGTTTTGAAGATAGAGGGCATATACGTAAAGAAGTCATAAAGATTTTTCCCTTCAATTAAAAACAAACTTTCCATGAAGAAGCCAATAGATAAAATAAACTTATACTAATTGACAAAAAAAATCTTTCCTTCTTGATGTTCTAGTCCTATGCACATGCCATATCCCCTTTCATTTAAGAGACAATATATAAAAATAGATAATTTGCTCTTGGCACCCAAAAGCACAGACTACTTTTATTTCAGTAAGGAGAGCTTTCTTTTAAATACAAGACAGATGAGAGCATTGGGGAATATATATATATATACATAATGGAAGGTGATTGCCCCCACTAAGATCACATACCTTTCTGACAAATAATTTAGAGAATTCACCTGGCTAGTTTTAAGGACTCTGGATAAATTTTAAGACCTTGTAGGGAGAATAAGAGTAAACCCGCTAGGGTTGTTTTATATTGCTACTCTGTTTTTAATCTCACGCCTGGGACCTGGGAATTAGCTCCTGCTTCTTGATACTGGAGATCTATCTGAGGCATAAATCAGCCACATCGCTCCAGACCACTTTAGTGGTTTTTGGAGACCGGGCACCCTTATGCCCGCCTGGTGTCGCCAACTAGGCTGTCCTGAGCACCCTGGAAAGCTAGAGCTTTGCGGATCCGAGCCGGATTCCTTCTTTTCTTGCATCTTCCCACTCGCTGCCCACTCCCTTCTGCAGCGACCCAGTTTGAAGCCACCAAAGCTACAAGAACTAGTAGGAGCTTACTTGCTCCTACTCCTTCTACTCATTACTAGGGTAGCATCTTCCTTCTACTCATTACTAGGGTAGTATCCCCCCTCCTTCCCACAGATGTTTCAACCCGAGGGGCCACCCAAGTACCATACCCACTCACAGTGGAGAGTGATATATATAGATACAGACACAGCCTCTGGGCTCTCACTGAAGGCTTTGCCAGGCTGCGGCCCCTACTTCCACCAGTGTGTCTTAAGTATCCTTTGTATAAGAGAATGCTGGATGCCTGCTCTGTCTGTAGTCAGGGCGGCCAGCGCGACGGCAAAAAAAGCACACAGAAGAAGAAAAATAAAACTTCTGGACGATAACGTGTATGAGTTAAACTTAAAAGGGAAGCTTAGGAGAGAAGCGAGCAGGGGACCTGCGGGACCGATGCGTGCCCTCATTTTTGCTCGAGAGGAGACGGTGGGGGGTGGGGTGGGGTGGGGGTGGAAAGCAGGCTGCTGGAAAGCTGCCGGTTTCCCCAGCAGCGGGTCCCACAAGCAAGTGTGCCGCCAGTACGCCTTCAGCCACCTTCTTGGGGCTGCGAGCACTTACTTCCTAAGCTTATCTTCAACTCAGCAGCCCTTCCCCCCCCATCCCACCCCCGGCCCCATCAGCGGGGAGGAGTCAGCCCCTGCCTGAGAGGTGGGGGATGTAGGGTGCTGGGAGTGGGGACCAGAAGGGGGTACCCAGCAGTTGAAGCTGAGCCATACCCTCTCTGCAGGCGGCCCAAGCTTAAGTTCACTATTCTTCCACAACCTAGCCCTCCACTCGCTCACCCCCCTACATTCCCCCTTCTCCCCCTCTGTCTAGTCCCTCCTCCTCGCCATTGAAAAGGGCTGGCTCGGCACTAGCGCCTCGCAGTCGGCGAACTGTCTGGGCGAGAGAGAGGCAGCGCGCGCCGGAGTAGCACTCTGTTCGCGGAAGAAAGCCCGCCCGCCGAGTGGCAGCTGCGACCGCAGGCAGCCCAGGCACCCCGGCGGCCTCCACAGCCTCCGAAGCCACCTCCACCACTCCAGCTGCTCCGCGGACTGCGAGCTGTGGCGGAAGAGCCCGCTACAGCAATCGCAGTCTCCGTGGAGCTAGCGGAAACCGTTTCTCTCCTTCACTTACTAACTCATTCTATTCCCGAGGCTTCGTTCACTGGGTAAGTATCCAGCACCGGTGGCCTGAGAGAGTGCGGGGTGGGCAGCGGGCGTCCAGCATGCAGCTTGTGCCAGTGGAGTAGTTTCAGAGCCCCTCCTGGTGTCCGAACCCGTCCCCATCATGTTCTCTTACCTGGAAGGGAAAGAAAGCGAACCCCGGAGGTGCGCGCAGATAGAATATCTTTTTGGGTCGGCCACTACTCAAGCTTGGTGACTTTGAGAAAACTCACTTTTGTCAGCAAAGTGTTCGCGCATGAATTTCCTCGATATTGGCCAGGCAAAAAGGTATCGCACTTTCATGGATTGAGAGCTACAGAAATTCCGATTGGGGCAGGCGCTGAGAAAAGATCACCTTCCAGACTCGCAGGCTAACCTGGTGGAGAGACCAGTCCTGAATGAAGGGTCCTGCCTTGGGCCATGTGTCCGTTTTTGACCTCGCGCGCCCGGCGGTGCTCTTGTTTTGGGGGGGGGGGGGTCATGGTTTGGAGCTCTGCCCTGCTTATGTTTCTTTTCTGGGGTGCGACCCTTGAGGAAGAACAGCGGAGATCCCATATCTTCGGAGTGCCCATGAGCTTCGGAGTGCCCATAGCCCTGGCCTTTCCTCTAGGTGCTCCCCTGCCACCACCCCCCTTCCCGCCCTACTTCTAAGGATGTGCTCAGCCAGCACCTGCTGGGTGTGGGGATAGAATATGTGGAATATTCTGCCTGTCATTAAAAAACAGAAGGAAAAAAAGAACTGACAAACTTAAGCAAAAATCAGCACTTTTTCTAAAAATGTAGCTGAAATCAAAAGAGGCTTTAAGGAAATGACTTTCAATCCCTAAGCAAGCAGCAATCTCCTTATCCTATAAATAAATGACCTGTTCTAAGATAGAACCAACAAAAGCAGTTCATATCACCAGGTTTTTCTTTTTACAAAACCGCATAGCAATAAAACGGTTCCATTTCCTGAAAACGAATGCCGCTTAATAAGAGGGGTCGTCGAGAGAGGTGACTTTTTAAAAGCAAGTATTCATAAATGGTTTCTTGAGAAGAGCTGAGTGGTAGTTTGCTCTGGGTTGGAGATACTGCCTGCATTTGACTAGACCGCCCCTGCTCGCGAAGGAAAAAGAAACAGAAAAAGGAAAAAATGCCACTTTTTTTAAAGAAGAGAGCCCCTTTCCTTCCTTCCAGAACCATTCAGTTTGAGCTTCCCTGATTTGGCCGCCTTTGAGGTTTGGAGTGCAGGGCGCTAGAGAGTAAGAGGGAGAAAGGAAGGGTGAGAGAAGAGACAGAGTGGCAGAGAGAGAGAGAGAGAGAGAGAGAGCCAGCCAGCGAGAGCACGTGTGCACGCTTGCTTGCTTGCTTGCGGGCGGGGCCCTCCACGAACCAGGTGCCCTTCCAAAATGTTGGCTGGGGGCTGGGAATGAAAACTTGCGCCACTGCGGCACATACGGCACATACCCGTAGAGCAAAGACAGAAGAGGATGGAGGGCTAGGACCAAACAAACAAATCCAAGATGCTAGCCCAGGAGCTGTTTCCACTGGAAGTGTGTTGAATAAGTTTGAACATCAGGATAGAATTAGAGAGGGGCAGAAAATTTGGGAGGGGGCTTCAGGGACAGATCAAAGGAACCGCTACTGTACTCCTTGCACTGCAGTAGGGAAACAACCTGAAGAGCTTTGTATCAGAATTCTCAACACCAAGTATAAAGCCCGCCCACCACCCCACCCCCCAAAAAGAGAAGGTAGTGGTACTTTATGACTAAAGTGCACCCCCTTCTACCAAGGTGAAACAGGTTTGATTTCAGAGAGGAAATAAAAAGGTACTTATGTGCACCCAGGTAAAGAATGAATGGAATGCCACTCTTAATATTGTTTGCACTAACCTGCACAATGACAGTAGGAAGTCTGAGCTCCCAGGCTGCCCTTTCTTGTGTGTGTGTGTGTGTGTGTGTGTGTGTGTGTGTGTGTGTGTGTGTGTGTTGAGAAAGCCAGCTCAAGCAGCTCTGGTATCTATACACGTCTGCAGCTTTCTTGCCTTTGTGTGGTTCATCTGAGGGAGGGCGATGTGCAGGCGGTTCTCAGGCCTGGGCCAACAGATGGATACGCTAAGGTCTCCCTTTCCCTTTCTGCTAAATTAAGAATTGCCGCGCACAGCCCATCAGCCACCACCGCCACAGCACTGCGACTGCCAGGAGGGAGCGTCTCAACCAGCAAAGCCAGAGAACAACGTAGTTCTCCAGTCTTCTTCCCCCGGACAGCCCCTCCTTCTGGCAATGATGTCAGCCCCGGCCAGGCACGTCTAGCCAGAGGCCAAGTGGCCAGTCGGTTTGAGAGCACTAGCGCCCCAGCTGCGCGCGCTCCCCGCGCGCAGTCGCCCTCGCTTCCTTTCTGTCCCCTTCCCGCGCTCTCCCTCCGGCCCCTCCTTCCAGCACTCTGGCTCCCCTGAGGCGCACAGAGGCGCTGTTGTGGGGGTGGGGGACACTGCAGGCTTGGTCACCGCCAGTTTTGAACCCCTGGGATCAAACCCAGTTTTGCGGGTCTTTCCCCGCCCTCTCCTCCCCTCCCCACGGCTATCGATTTCCTCCTGTTTTCAGCTCACTAGTCAGATGAATTTACTTATCCACTTGCATTTTAGAGGGCAAGTACTTTTGGTAGAACAATAATAGTTACCATTGTTACATTTCTGCTGTATTCTCCTCCCTGGTTGATGAGGCATGGGGTGTGTAGACTGGCATCTTGAAAAGACCTCAGTTGTCTTTCGGCCTTCAAGAGAGCAAGTAACCTAGAAGGTAGGGAGGGTCGGTTTCCCAAAGAGCTGGTCGGTGGAGGACGGGGCAATCTAAAGAGGAGTAGAGTGTATATGTAAGGGGTGACAGGGAGTGGGGTGGGGGCGCTCCCCTTAACTGAAGAAGAGCCAGGAAATTGGAATTGGAGGGCTCTGGAAGCTACTGCCACAGGGGAGAGGCTACCAAGCTCTTTATAAGGCTGCCACAGACATGTCCCAAGGCCAAATTGGGAAGATTCAGGAATCGGATTTTACAAGACGGAATCCTGCTGTGGCGTCGCTTCTGAACTTGCTCTTCACATAATTTCTGCTTTTTAGAGTTCGAGGTTAATTCGTTTCCTCTGATTGAGGGCATTTCTTTCTTTAGTTCCGGGAGAAAAGGCGAAGGGTGCTTTTGGAGAAGGTTGCAGAGGGCTAGAAGGAAAGGAAGCTGGCAGGGTGTGTAGAGGCAACTGGAACCTCAGGACTGAGTTTCCTTCCAAAGGAAATGCAGAAGAAGAGGATCACAACAAGATGCTTAGTTTCGTTATTAAGGTTTGGAGATTTGGAGGAAGGGGGACTGAAAGTACCCTTCCGTTTGTAAATGGTGTTCTGCACACCCCACTCCACCCCCTCCCCTGCCATGATTTAAGGATTCCCTTACTACATGCTTGTCTGGCAGCAAACTTAGTTGCTGGTTTTGAAAAACAGGAATGGGAAGGAAAAGCAGATCCAGCATAAGACACATCCATTTTGTAGAGCTCAATCCTTTGCTAAGGGTTGAAAGGAGCTTTTTTTTTTTTTAAAGCATCCAAATGTGATTCTGAGGGAAACCCGAGTAGTGTTGGGTATTAACAGCTATCAGCAGCTGGGATCCCTGGCAAAAGGGACTGCAGGTTTCACACTATTTCTTGTCTTCATATTTAAAACTTTTTTTGGGGGTGGTGGCAAGATAGAAATTTCTGAGAGAGCTTCCAGACTGCTGGTGGCAGGATAAGATCTGGTAAAGGGATTTAGAAAGCAGAAAATTCTTCTCTTCTGTATGCAAGCAGTTCACAACCACCTTCACTGAGGATTAATCATATCCTTAAAGGACAGAGAGAAAGCACACCTATAAAGAGACTTTATATAAACCACTGGCTTTGAACGGCGTGTATTACATAGATATGCGTGTCCAGTTTCTGTTAAGGATAAAGGGAACTGTTCAGAGATTTAAAATGTGAGAATTAATTTTCTCCAATAATCTTGTTTCACATATTTTTAAAGAGGTGCCTTCATTTATTCACTAAGCAATCTATATACCTACTGTACTAGACAATGTGCTGCGTCCCCAAATTCTAAACATAAAAGGTCTTTCCATAAGCAGGAGAGAGTCAAAATTATTAACAGTGTGGTAACCTGAGCATAATAGAGGGAGGAATTCTTTTTTTCCCCAAGAGAGTAAGAAACAACTCATTAAGAAAGGCATCTCTCTGTCTTTGAGAATTAGGCATTTTTAGGCAATGGCTGGCTAGCTAAGAAGTGGGCTTGGAAGGACACAGAGAAAGCATAAGATTATGAAATATGTGTGTTGGCCACTTTTGATGGCTTTCCAAGCAGATATACTTAAAAGCAAACAAAAGACTCAGGATAACAAAATTGGACAGTCGCTGAAATACTTTTGTGGTTCTTTTTTTTTTTTAAAGTAAAAGCAATGGACTTGCATAGAAAGTGGAGGCAAGGAAATTAAGATTATCATAATATTCAGAAAAAGAGGACACGTGAATGAAGGGCTAAATCAAAGCAGTAGAACTAGTATAAAAAGGAAGTGTTATTTTGAGGAAGGAATTTTTTCTTTGGTACATGCTCAATCTACTTTTAACTCATCTCACCTTCCCAGTTAATCTTTAAAATTCGGAGTTGTGCGCCATTAGAATAGTTCATTTCTGTTCTTGGGGTTCACCATCCACCCTGTTTCACCACTATGGCTTAGATCACTTAACTCACCCTTATCCACTTCCTGGAAGGGCAGAGTAGAACTGCTCCCTAGGGTTCCCAAGGGTATAAACTTTTTTAATGCAGACGGGCCTCAGCTATGTCTCTTGGAAAGGCTGTGGTAGATTTTGACTGCAGACTTTAACCTTAGTAGCCCACCACATCACTAGGGCTTCTGTAAGTAGGAATTAACTCAATGGCAGGGTTGTGATGTGTTTTTTGGTTTGTTTTTGGTTTACATTTTTTTTTAACACTTCCATGCTCTCTCTCCCACCTGTT